TAGTCCACCTACCGTAGCATATACAATGAGCGGTAGAGGTAAAGGACGAGGTGGCCGAGGAGGCGGCAAAGCACGAGGGCATGGAAGAACCAGCCCATCGTCGAACCAGAAGAAAGGTTCATGAAAAGCCCTCGAACAACATGTGTTTAACTTCCGTACAACTGGATCTGGAACGGCAGACAGATGATACGCACATGGGGGAAGATCGTCCTCCACGTTGGACAAACGTTGGGTGACGAAATCAGCAATGAGCTACGCAACCTGAAAAAGACAGTGTTGGTAGCACGGGTGTACTCAGAGGAGACCCGGAACAGGCTTGACGCAGCAGCGGAACGACGCGAACAGAACAACCTTCGTCTCCAAACTGCAACCAAAACAAGCCTACAGCTACTGGAAGACGAGATACCCGAGGTCATTGAGAACCCGACTCTCGGTAGCTTACGCACACTACCGATAGAAAGAACATTTTCAAATCTTTCTTTTTTACTTTGGCTAGCTCTTTTATTTTAAGTTCTCGTCCGACTACTTTTATTCGTCTTATGGCTATGAGGGCGATAAACTTCAAATTATACTCCTGGCTAGGGAGTGTTAAAACTATTGCTAAGGATCTTGCAAGTCTGGCGCTATTGCTTCACACTTCGTGCGGTATGCTGCCGTTCCGAACCCGTTTTGTTTCCTTGCTGGTTGTTTCCTTGGTTGGGTACCCGTCCTTGGTCCCTGCGCTGGCACTATGGCTTTCGCGCTTGTTGTTGGCTCTGACAGTTCCGGCTGGATGCTGTCGGCTCTCGGCAATCCTTTTGGATTCTGCCGATGAAACTCTTGCTGCTGCGTCGTCGACTGCAGTCTCCTCTTCGGCACGACGGTCGCGTCGTTGCCGATCTTGCTTTCGTCGCGTCGTCGCTCGTTGCGTCGTCGCGGTCTTGATCCGTCCTCGGATCCTTCACTCGTATGCCTTCAGTTCCACCGAAGGGCTTCTCTTGTTGCTGTCGTTGACAGTCTCCTCGCTGTTGCTGTCGATGCTTCGACAGGCTTGGTCTCTATCGATCTTGTTCTCGCGTCACGATCGGCGTCGGCTTCGGCGTCGGCCGATACGTACTCGATCCTCGCGTCGCGATCCTTGCGACGTCTTCTTGCTACCGTTGGCTTCGTTGCTTCGATAGGCTCCTCTTCACTTCTTCGATATCGATAGTAGACCGCTTTTTCAATAGTATGTTAGTTGCTCTAAGCTCTCTTAGTTGTTACTGTTGTCTATTGAGATACTATTGAAAAAGTGGGTGGGGTACCAGCTTTTACTACTGGCATCAAATTCTAGTACAGAGGTACAGGTTGAATCCCTAATCGCGAATCCCCAACACTGTCACCCCGGCGGGCCAATAATAGTTTCACACACACCGGGCGTCTCATTGGCGTGTTCGGTTTCATGCTGATGGCTGGACTGTATAGCGTGTCTTTCAGTATGAAGGACTACATGTATGCA